TTTTTTTTTTAATCAGATTTACTGAATTTTATCGAGAGCTTTCCACATTTAATAAATAATATGACTGCACAATCATACAGCTTTTCTCCTTTAAGCTATTAAGGCTCTACAGCTTTACATCTTAAGCTCCTTCTGATTAATATGTTCACACATCTTGGAGTGACAACACTTCAAAGCTTTCCGAATTCATTTATCCTGAGTCTGAGTCACGAGGATTCATGGCAAGAGAGCATCAAAGGCAAAACAGATTCAGACTGGAGAAGACCCGGCTGGCTGCCCACAGATTGCAGACTGGTGAAAAACAACTGCATGTTCCTGTTGCACCCTGCTTTTGTGGTTTGCTGTCTTAAAATACCCTCCCATCCCTTTAATCATGCTCTCCCAGTCTCTGCTCCTAGAGATACTACCCATTATTAAGGCTCAAACTGAATATCACCTCTTCAATTGAGTCTTCATCCCAAATCCTTACTACCCCATCGTTTGTATGTAACTTCACTGTGGCAGGAATCACCACTGTGGAATCAGTTTGGGGACGCATACACGCTACCTCTCTGTAGCCGGGTGTTTGGCAGACCGTCTGGCATGCAGTGGATGCTCAATCAATGCTGAAAGAAGAATTGGCAGGAGAGGTCCAGCCGCTTGCTCTATCCCTGCCCTGGCCTTCCCGCCTTGCCAGGACTGGGAAAACCTTCCCCACCAGGGTCCTGCAGGGTGGATCAGCCTCGGCAGAGGGCACCCCAGACCCCCTCTCCAGCCCCGGAAGCTGGGCTGCCTGGCCCTGGGAAGACTACACTTCCCAGCGATCCCAGGGAAAACAGAAAACCCTTTGGCTTTGACAGCCGCCGCCACAAGTCTTTGCGCCTCCCCTGCCTGCCTGGGAGCTGGAGCTGGATTATGGTGGCCTGAGCAGCCAACGCAGCCGCGGGAGCCCGGCGCCCTTGTCCCTTCCCACGCCGCCAACCCCTCCAGGAGGACCGGGAAAGCAGCCGGAGCCCACCTGCCATGCCTGCCCCTCCCAGACCCCAGAGGACGCCGAGCCCGCGGCCGCGGCCGGCCACCCAGATGTAGCTGGGTCCCGGGTCCCCATCGCTCGCTCTTCTCGCTCGCTGCGGATTTCGAAGGCCTGGACCCCGGGACTGGCTAGAGGGCCTGCAGGCTCTGGGGTCCTGATGCCTCCAAGTCCCCTCTCCTGAGAGAAGCCACCACCGCCACCAGGTCTTAGGGGCAGGCCACAGGGACGATCGTGGGCCGGATTGAGCCCAGCAGGCCCGGGCCCACCATGGCCCCAGCCCTGCCCTGGCTCCTGCTGTGGGTGGGCTCCGGGATGCTGCCTGCCCAAGGCACCCAGCACGGCATCCGGCTGCCCCTGCGCAGCGGCCTGGCGGGGCCCCCTCTGGGGCTGCGGCTGCCCCGGGAGACCGACGAGGAGCCAGAAGAGCCCGGCCGGAGAGGTAGCTTTGTGGAGATGGTTGACAACCTGAGGGGCAAGTCCGGCCAAGGCTACTATGTGGAGATGACGGTGGGCAGCCCCCCACAAACGGTAAGGTGGTCAGGCCCGCGTAGCCCTCCTTTCGTGGAGACAGGATGAGAATGCAGCAGGATGTCCCGCCTAAGATGGGATTCTCCGGCTGCAGGAAGGACCCTCTCCCAAACAACCATTGCTCACGTTCGTTCACAGAAGCGTCCCCATAACGCCCCTTCCCCACCTCTCTTCCCTTCCCCTCCCTGGCTTCTCAGTCCCCCCTGGGCAATTGCCCTCACCTCACTCCCGCTCTGCTTCAAAGGCCCCCTCAGTAAGGATTTGAGGCAGGAGAAGCTCTTCAGTGGGGCGCCTGACCTGGGGAAGGGGCCACAGGCTGCTGTAACAGGTGTCAGCCCCCTCTGGTGCTGGCCAAATCTGAGTCTCCCACATGTCCCCACCGTGGCTGCTGGCCACCCATCTCACTTTTCTCCTAGTGATCCCGGGACTCTGATGTCCCAATCTTCATTTCCTTGAGGACCAAGGAATCCTAGCACACGTTGGATCAGCCCCTTTCTCCCACAGTCTGGGCGGCCACAAGCCAGCAAAGCGAGGGCCCTTTGAACCTCCAGCCCAGCAGCCCACAAGCCCTGGTCTCCCAGGCTCTTCCTCCTTCTCCAATTCCCTGACTTTCTACACTGCAGCACCTCCCCCACCTCATGTCCCTAGGCTGGGCCAGAAAGGCACTGAACTGATCGTGGAGAAAGGACAAACCAAAGAAAAGGAGCCTGAGTGGGGTTCCTTCCATGGTGAAGAGCATGGCAGTGGTGATGAAAATGCTATCACCGTGTTCATCCTTCCCCAGTCACCAAGCTACCTCCAAGGTGGCCCATGGAGGTTGTGCCCTCTGCCTGTGCACGTGGTTGTGGGAATGTGGGCTTGAGCACCACTCTGTGGGGTGCCTGACTGGACTGACTCTGCATGCGCCTGCCTCCTCTCTGGGGGAGTCTGAGCCCAGGGGGGCAGAATGGGTCTGCATATGCTGGTGTGTGTCACCTTGAATCTGATCCTGCATATCTCCGTGAGCCATCCCCATCATAGGTCTATGTCTGTCTGTGTCCGAAAAGCTTGTCCGTGGAGGAGGTGGGAAGGTCAGAGTGTGTTGGGGTGGGGAGGGGACAGCCTCACTTCCTGGAACCCAGACAGCTGGATCTGGGAGAACAACAACCCTCTCACCACCAGCACCTTCCAGTTACCTGACAGAAGCCAGCCTCTGGGTCCATGTCACCCAGGCCTGCTTCCCGTGCTCCAAGACCCTGGTCTTCCCCATTTACCCCTCCTCTTCCCTGTGCACCATAGCTTCTGGGAAGTGGTCTGAAATCTTTGGGTGGAGGCCAGGCTAGAGCCAGAATTCAGGTCCCGAAAGCCTGAACAAATAGATGCTAGGTATTGTCCTGGAGCAGGGGCCATGTGGAGACTTGGAAACTGCTCTCATTCTTGCGAGTGACACTGTACAAACTGTACACAGACCCTAAGACGGGGCTGCACTGGATGCTCTGCAGAGCTAGCAAGGGCTTTGGGGTCAGACTGACCAGGAATCTCAGTCCAGCCTCTACCACCTACAGCTTTCCCCTTTCCCAGCTGTGTGGCCTTTGGCAAGTTATGTAACCTCTCTGAGGCTATTGCTTTGTCTTTAAAATGAGTGAGATAGATGTCCTTTGCAAGATAATGTGAGGATAAAATGAGCCCAGGTAGGTGGGGGGCACCTAGAACACCAAATTGACCCTCAACAAATATTACCTCACTTTCTTCTTGACCATTTTGCCTCTTCTGTGCTATGCAATGAGGCAGAAAAACTTGGATGTCTGAGCCATGTGGAACTGGGGACAAGCTACCATACCTCCCTGATCCCCTAAAATAATGTGTACATCCCCCAGCCAGTACTCAGTAGAATAATTGTTCAGTGTTTGTCAATTCCTCCTCACTCCTTGCTAGAAGCTAGAGAAGGGAGCTGGAGCTTGCACAGCCACCCCGGGAGCCAGTGCCCGGGAACCCGCAGCAGAGCAGCTCTACGGATTGCACGTGGCTCCTACTCAGAGCCTACGCCAGCCAGCCAGTCTCTGCTCTGCAGGCTATGTGCCCACTTGGATTCTCTCCCTACAAGTCTGGGAGAAGGATGCCCTCTCTCCCTACCTGGTGGAATCATTGGAACAATCAAATAATACAGATGGCAAAATACTGTGAACCAGTAAAAGTGAAATTTGGGGAGCACTTTCTATTTTTATCGGGAGGGGCATGTTTAAAAAGACTGAAAACATTTTCTTTCCTAAGGACCTTAAAGTGAAAGTGAAGTATAAATACTCACTCAAGGTCATCCATAGCAGTGATAGATCCTTATCATCAGAGCCTGATAAACATGTAAAATTTGCCGGCCCCACCCTAGACTGAGGGAGTAGAAATCTCTGCAGCAGGGACTAAATCGTTTTTCTCAAGCTTGAGAAGCATTGCGCTGTGGGAGTACAAGAGCTAAATGCTGTAAGTGTTCCAAAGGTAATGGTTAGTCAGGGAAGGCCTCACAGAGGAGGTGTGTGCTGAGCATGGTCTTGATGGATGGAAAAGAGTCGGGGAGCCATTTCCAGTGGGGAACTGTAATTGCATCTTCTCACCTTGTCTACCCCATTAGACTGGGAGAGGCCACACTGAATGAGAGAATGAGTTATGTGTGTTTGGGCTTAAGCATGTTTGTTCAGGAGAAAGCCAGGCCAGTTAATATCACAGGTTTACACTGAGATCAGATAAATTTGGGTAAATAAAATAGAGACAAATTGCTAAAAGCCTTAAATGTCAAGCTATAAGGTTTGGACTTTGGTCTTTAGCTCTGAGAGGAAAATTGAATCATTTGTGCAGGATAATGACATAAAGAAAGCAATCTTTTAAGAACAGATATCTGATTTTGTGTGTGTGTGTGTCATACTAGGGTTTGAACTCAGAGCCTCACACTTGCTAAGCAGGTACTCTATCACCTGAGTCACTCCTCCAGCCCTTTTTTGTATATTTTCAAGGTAAGGTCCTGATGAACTATTTGCCCAGGCTGGCTGATCTCTGCCTCCTGAGTAGCTAGGATTACAGGCATGTGCCCGGCACAATATCTGAATTTTTAAGCTTTATTTATTTATTTTTTCAGTCCTGGGGTTTGAACTCAGGGACTCCAGCTTGCTGGGCAGGTGCTCTACCACTTTGAATTACACTCCCAGCCTTTTTTTTCTTTTTTTTTTTTTTTCTGGTTTAGTCACCTGTGAGAAGCATTAGTTATTTTTGAGATAGGGTCTCACTTTATGTCCAGGCCAGACTGGACTGCAAAGTAGCTGGGATGACAGGCATATACCGCCATGCCCTTTTATTGGTTGAGATGAAGTCTCCAGAACTTTTTGCCTAGACTGCCCTTGAACCACAGTGGTTAGGATTACAGGTGTGAGCCACAACATCCAGCCCAGATATCTGAATTTTTGAAAGAATAGAAAAGAGAGATATGGATGGAAGGAGGATTTAACAGTCCAGGTTCGAGGTGCTAGAGGATGACATGGGGCTGTGATAAGATGGAGAGAGAAGGGGAGATGAGGATGCAGGGACATTACAAGGCAGATGGACAGGACTTGTGACATGGGTATGAGGGTAAAGAAGCAGGCATGAAAAGTGATTTTGCGATTCCGATCTAGGGTGAATTGGAGGATAAGGAGACCAATGGAGGGGTTATGAAAGTCAGGTGGGTAGTGCTACTCTACAAATACATGCGGTGTTTATCACAATACAAAGTTTCTTTTATACACTATATATATATTACTTTGCTCTTTACAGAAATTCTTGCTATATATACATGTAAATATGTGTATATTTATATAGAGCTATAATAGGTCTGTATTCCTCACCGCTTCCAGCAGAAAAAAATATAGGGTAAACAGATGGCCAGGTGGCAAGCACCTGTCTCATGCCTTGTTCTTCCTGCTTGCCATTGCCTTGCTAGAGAAGTTTGTCCTAAGTGTCCTTCCTCCATTCTCCCGTAACACCTGCTAGCGTCTCCCTCACTGCACTCACAATCATGTGTTATAGCTGGGTTTGTTTCCCTCATAAAACCCCAGGCTCTCAGCCTGGAGATGTAGCGTAATGGTAGGGTGCATGTTTGGTACGCAAAAGGGTTTGATCTCCAGTACCCCCGAAAAGAAAAGGCTATAGTATCTATGACACTGGCCATCTTGCTACCTAGAAAATGTTGAGTGAATGAATAATTAAGCTGCAAAACATCTATGCAGAACTGTTTGTGAATGCAGAAGTAGAGTTTCCAGAGAAAATATTTTTACTCTTTTCACTTTACATGAAAGGATATCATACATTATGATAATAAGAGAATCACTGACCAAACACAGAATAGTAATTTGTCAGGTGTGAAATTTGATGATAGGCAGTTCAGTATACCAGATATTTATTGAGTGCCTGTTATGTGCAGAAGAGAAAGATGATGCTGTGGTCTCAGCTCTTGGTGAGCTCATGATTTGGTGTGAGACCAAATGCACCTGTTTCAAGAGAAGTGGGTCTTGTAGTGCACAGAGAGAAGCAGCTACTTCTGACGGGATATGAGTTTGCTGGCAAAGGAAGTATTTCAAGTATGGTCTTCATATTTGAATATGGCCTGAAAGACAGACAGCTCTGCCCTACGGAGAGTGGGAAGAAGACACATCAGGAGAAGAGGCATGAGCTATGGTGAGAAGCTAGAAGTTGTGGGAGGGACTGAGTGAAGTCTGGATCTTCTGGAAGCAGGCAGGAGTCCTAGTAGGTATATGAGAAGAGAGATGGTGGTGTCTAATTTTGGTCAAAGGAAAACAACTTCAGTGTGGAGGAGGACTTGGATAGTCTGGAGTGTGAGACGAGCATCTGTTAGGATGAAGGGCTGAGTGAGGGAGGTGGCAGGGAGGGTAGAAAGGAGAAAAGGTCCTCAGGGTACCAGCATTCACAGCTCCATTCAACCAGTTCTTCCCTGCCCCGATAAGATTTAAGGAATCTTAAAGAGGAGTTGGCCTCCGGAGTAA